CCGTGTACATTTGTGTAATGAGAGGCCAATATATATATCTTATTGACCAAGCGCGAGGGCCGTACTAGGAGAATATCTACATCCTAACCAAGGTAGTTACGTTATTATAGTTATCATCTCAACTTTACTTACAGTGTGCTGCACTATCAGGCTAATTAACGCAGGTCATCTTTATTCCAATTCGTTAAACCCTTGTCATGGGTTGGTTCTTGGACGTCAAACCTTTCTCTATTCCTGGCATGAACTGCTAAGTTAATATTTCAGGAAATTTTTTAGATAATTTTTTGGTTCCCAGTTTTCTGCTTTTCATCTGCGGCTTTTTGCAATTACGTTAGTCTTAAGTTACCGGTAGATATACTTGTATTATTGGAAGTAGGGCCATTATTGATAACAGTTTTCACTGAGTATACTGATAGGGTGGAGGAGGTGGCGCGCGTTTTCTGGACCAATCAGAGCATACTAAAGTAAATGCAATCCCAGTTACTTTCTGCACTCGATTACAAATTGCTTTTGTGTCAACAGACAAAAACCCTATTGAGGATTGTAAAGAGCACACACTGTTTTGATAGTTTTTATTTAAGGTAGTTGATGATTATGCACTGATCTAGCGCTTCAGATAAAATCACGTTCTTTATACTTAATCCGGATCTTTTTGGTAAGATTTGGCAGCATATCAAGCGAGTTTAGTCAGGCATGGCTGGTATTTTTAGTGAAATGTAGTCGGATCCGAACACCTACGGCGAGACCAAACGAGAAAATTAAAACAGACGAGTATGCCTTTTGTGCTCTCGTTCTTTGATTTATATACGTTACAGCTTAAATGCCATGCATTTCGCACGTGTTGCGATCCTATTTGGAATCCAGTCCCTGTACCGTCTCTGTTTAAACAGCGGTCAAAGGTAACCGCGCAAGTTGTACGACTTTACCCGGGTGTCCCAAGCTCACTTCTCGAGGAAAATCGAAATATTATTTCATGAAAGCGCCACGCGTTGTGAGACGTAGTGTTGAGTTACGCGAAGAACCGTTACTCGTAAGATTAATAAAACGTACTCACTTAATTATAAAACTTAGAATTCTAAAGCAAAAATAAAGTAGACCATCTGCAGATCTTATACATTTTACAAGGCTGTCAAGTTTAATGGTAAACTTCATCATTCAACCAGGACCTGGACTGATGAAAATAAACGACATGAAGCTTAACAAACTCAATATCTACTTAATAAAGAAAAGATATCATAACCTCCAAATAACCTCCAAAATAAATGCCTTCCAATCAGCTGCACCTCATCTTTGGAATGCATTACCTTCGACAGTTCGTAACATAAAGACATCGGACACTTTCAAGACTGCTATCAAAAGTAATTTTTTTAATCTAGCTTTCGAATAGATTTTTATTTTTACTCATGTTTTTTATTCACTTAGTTTAGCTAGGCTATTGTTCTCTCTGAGTGCATAGACTCGTAAGTTCCAATAGGTTCTTATATCTTAGTTACTTTTGCCAAATTTATATCTTACGATATTGTGAAGTGCGACTAAATGTATTCATATAGAGGTCTGCGCTATATGAATTATTATTATTATTATTATTATTATTATTATTATTATTATTATATCAACGAAATGTTTATAATTTCAACTTGGTCTCCTTCGCCGTCGTTCCGTATGGGATGTCACGTCACGCTGACTCCCTCACGTCCCGATGTGCGAATAAGCGTTGTGTGACCTCCTTAAAATGCGGGGGAGACTTTTTCTAACTCTTGAATAAAGGCGATAAGTTCCTAGAAAAAGTGTAGTGCTGCGTCGGTGGGGGTAGTACAAGATTATTTGGTCTTATTAACCGAGTTGATGAAGAAAATTGTCTCTTAGTTAGAACGTATAAATCGTTCGCTCTGACAAAGGATTCACTCTCGAAATTTGTTGTGTATGGGAGTTCGCGTTATTGGAAGGAAGCGTGTAAACAAGGCTGTAGAACTCAACGATTTAATCCAATATGTCGAACGAGCAGAGCACATGGCAAAGATTCCCCAAACTGAGCATGCGCACACTTACATGAATATATATGAGATTATGAGATATAACAACACTTCTGCATAGGAAAGTCTTTACAAGGCCAGTACACCGAGCTCAGCTCGTCGATTCAACAACCTGTGTTATCGATACCTCTGAACTTCCGACACATCGCTCCGGCGATACATCGCTCAATGATCATGATACATCGCAGGTGGGCGGAACGTCATCACGATATATCGCTTCGGTGAAATATCGCTCCAGCAATTTATCTTTGAGTCAGAGATGAGTCAAAGCGATATATCGTTCCAGTGATATATCGTTCCAGTGATATATCGTTCGAGCTATATTTGGCCTCACCGAGTTTTCGTACGGTAAAGAAATGGTTTTCGTGACTATATCTCGTTCAAGAGAAATAACTATATGACATTTCAGTTTGCTCCCCGAATTTTTTAACCCTTTGCATACTAAGTGAACACATATGTCCAGATAATACCGTTACTACTTTTGATACTTGTTTCTTGTTGAACTCAAGACACAACATTATGTGTGTAAATTGTGCCGGCTAGTTGATGTGACACCTATTGCAACCTAAAACGCCCGCAATGATTCCTGATTTTCATTGCAGTGAACCGTTCGTATGGCAACAAATCCCAAAGTCCAGCATTTTGCTCCAAGAGCAACACGAAAAACATGTCAGTCTTTTAAGATAAAAACTTGCTAAACAAATCAAAAGTTTGCGTTCAAATCACACCTCAGGGCCAGATCTTGGACCTTGGCAAGAAAATTCCTTCTCACTTTATGTGACAGCCCATTTGATGAAAGCCAGTGATGCGAACACAACCGTTACCTTGTTCATGCCCGAAAAGAATGCTGGGTAATTCCGCCATAACTCGAAAAGGCAACTCCTATCATTTCCATTTCAAAGAATTATTATAAAGTGTCGGGCCATCCAGTCCTACCAGCAGAATATCGCATCGATTGAAATTTTTACCGGTCAAAACTTGGCCCATAGCTTTGTTAGGTCCTGAAAGCCATCCACAGATGGGCCCGAGAGATAACTTCACTTGTAAACTCGCCAAGTTGGCAGTAAAGCATCGTTGGCTGTCCAGTCCAAATGAAACCATCCCTCACCTCTGTTTTCCTTCAGAGGCTTGCCTCTACCCACATTCCAGCTTAATGATTCCGTCGTGAGGGCTTCTGTAGAGGGAAAATGGCTCGAAAAACACTTCTAAACGGGCAGAAAAGCGAGAAACCGAATCGATTTGAATGCATCCAAACACGAACTGGTGATCTAGGTCATGTGACCCCAAGGTCTGAGCCCATGGTGTCTCAGAACCGCAAATATTGTAACTGATGCTCCACATAAAGGCCAACAAAGTGAGGTTAAGTTTGTATCGCCAAATTACAACTGTAAATATATGGTCTTTTTCGCATTCAAAGGGTTAAAAATGTTATAGATAAATTGTAAACTATTTCAGTGCCTCAGCAAAACTTACACTAAAAGCAGCCAGTTTAATATTGGGGCTTGATTTAAAATTTGTTGCAGTAAACTAGGCAGTCCACAAGGGAAATATTTAGATTTAATAATTATAAAAACCAAGTTATTTTGTAAACAATTGAGTTTCTTAAAGTATCGTTCACAGCGCCTTATGGTCAAATGATAGGTAAATCAAGAACAAGTTTAATTTGCATGTGAATGAAAGCGTATTATCCTATGAAAGGATGAGCACCAGGACTCATTTTGAAAATGAGGCCAAGGGTAATTCGAAAATGAGCTATTAGCACACGTTCCGACAAAACATTTTCGTATTGAACGTCGGGATTTCTACTTTCCAATCGAGTATTTTTCGCACATTTCCTATTCGTTTGTTGAAGGACACTAGGGTGTATTTTGATCAAGGATGGAGCGAAAAGGAAGAAAACTTAGCTCATATTAACCTACAGCCCGACGACAGACGACTTCTTAAATTATGTTGATAATGTAGCTCCATGTGCTCACGCATCGGGGCCTAAACTCTATGAGATGATTATATTTACAAACTCTCCACGAGAAGACGATATTATTAAGCTTTGAATGGGAATTTACGCTCTGCTCTGGAACTCCGTAAATTGAAGAGCAAATAAACACTATCCTACAGATTGTGTTCTTTGGGCTACTTTTGCTCTCTGGTAGCGATTTCAAGTCGTTTTGTCGCGTTTTAGGCCCTGTTTACAAGCAGGTAGGGTAACCCTAGTGCTAGGGTTACCCTGGCAGGAGGGTTACCCTAACGCTCCCACATTTCTTCTTTTTTTCATCGACGTGTTTACAAGGCAGCTAGGGTTACCCTGGCAGGCGGGTTACCCTAACGCTCCCACATTTCTTCTTTTTTCTTCGCTCTGCTGGGGATAACTCGCCTACCCGGGACAACTTTTTACTTGTTTCCAGACCCTTTGAAAATTGATAACAATGCGTGCGGTTACCAAGCATAGGTAAGTTGTCCCGGGTGGTAGGGTAACCCTACCTGTGAAATTTTGCTTGTAAACCCGGGTTTTCTTTGACCCGCCTGCTAGGATAACTCTAGCACAAGGGTTACCCTCCTTGCTTGTAAACAGGGCCTTAGCTGAAACTCCATCCCACTACTGCCTGCACTATGAAGAAGGAAAGGGAGGAACGCTTCGTCAGACAAACGGACTGATGTCACAGATCCTCTCTCGAAAATTGCTCGATTCTCAGCATAGACCACGACTCCTTGCTTCGAAACTCAGACTAACGAAATCTATATAGACAATCATGTAGTAGAATCTTATCTATTTACTCAATAATTTATAACTCGATTGCTTTTGAAAAAATCTGCACTTGTAACCTAAAACATGAACCATATCATAATGACTACCGTATTTAGGCACGATCGAGAGCTCCATTTTAGATAAGTAACACAACACTTTAAATTCAGACAACTCAAGGAGTGACAACTTGTGTGAGCCTGTCACATTTCTTCAAAGGTCAAAATCTTCCTGCGAATAAAACTGACCCCCGACGCTTTTACTTTCAGTCGCTCCTTTGAAATGGCGGAAGCTTCATAAACTATTTTGCCTTTGGGTTATGTAGACGAGTTTGTAACTGAAGTTGAAAGAGATTTGGAGTGTTCAATTTGTGATCTTCCACTTAAGGAACCTGTTCTCACCAGATGTGGACACCGATTCTGCAAAGAATGCCTCGAGGAGAATTTTAGAAGGTGCGGTTTGTTAGCAACACGAAATGTTATTTTAGCAAAATCAAATGGTTTTTCGTAGATTTCGATGGTATTTATAAAATTATTTACTCCTGACTTTTCTGAATCATAGAGCTGGTGTGACTTTTATCGGCAATTCCTTTAGATCCGAAGAGAAATTGAACGAACAGCGTTTTGCGATCAATCGCTCTCTCATTTTCTTTTAACGGTGTAATTCTTCAGCCGATCAATACATGTCTTTACAAGTCCAATATCGACAACATAATGTTAATAATATTATAAGTTCTTTTGAATTAGGCTGGCTCAATTCAGCACTCAATCGCATGACGGAAACAGACCGGCACATTCACAGCATACTGACTGCTTCGACAAAGCTCCGCTCAATCTCGCATATTGACCATATAACTTAAACCCCTCACTATTAGTCCATTCTTATTTATTATTCATTTTCTGGACAGGGGGAATATTCGAGAGACACAGTTTGTGGAATGATGTCTTTATTCTGATAGATAATCTGCTTTTTTACATACAACAGACCTAGCACCTTGACCGTAAAAATAATAATATTTTTGCATGGTGGATATGACCGCACTAAAAAGGCTTAAGGTTACTTCGTATGTGGCTGTAGTTTATATTTCTTTCGATGCGTGATTTTGTTGTATAAAATTAGTATTCCATAATCAAAATTATTCCCTTGTTATTCCCTTGATTTCCAAAGTGGTAGCAATCATCCGAAGAATTGAACATGTCTGTCTGTTCTTTTTGTAATTTGACCGCCAAATGTGACCCGGAGACCTCATGCGTGGTCATCCGATTAGGTTTGTCTCGAACTTGACAGTATAACGTTCAAATGAAACAGAAATAAAAGACAATTAGACGGAGGTACAAAGACAATATAAGAATATTAACGTTTTCAGACATTGTTGTAACTATATAAACATTATCTATTATTACACCATTTTATTATATGGTTTTGGCTTGCGGCCGGTGTAACGCGCGCTCTGATTGGCTAAGAGCGACATCAGAGCAGGGCATTATGAAGCGGTAACTCCCACGAGCAGGTTATGGATTATGCAAATTAGAAAGAGTACCGAGGCGGTTCTTTTTACTTTTTAAAAATGTGAGCGCGTGAAAACGATGAAGGCTGAGTAACAGCCGGAGAGCATATACCTTACTTATACAGTAGACTAAATTTTTTAGAAGAACAACGAAGGTATAGTTTTAAATCACTTATGAGATTGTGCTGAAAGTGACGAGGTAAACAAAGCAGCAAACATTAAAGCTCACATCTAGTAAAAGAAACCGTGAAAATTTCGCATTAGAAATCGTTCAATAACATGATAACATTTCAACAAAATTTTCTTAAGTACATTTTGAAAAGAGGTCGTTTTTGACTGAGAAACACTAAACAAAAAATATATCTAGTGAGTTTCAACAATTTCCGAAAGATAAATCTTGTCGCAGTTAACTTGGCAATTCTTATCGATAGATTCACTCTCTATTAAACAACCAAGTTCGTATGGCAACAAATCCCAAAGTCCAGCATTTTGCTCCAAGAGCAACACCAAAAACATGTCAATCTTTTAAGATGAACTTGCTAAAAAAATCAAAAGTTTGCGTTTAAATCACACCTCAGGGCCAGATCTTGGAGTTTGGCAAGAAAATTCCTTCTCACTTTATCTGCCAGCCCATTTGATGAAAGCTAGGGTTGCGAACACAACCGTTGCCTTGTTCATGCCCGAAAAGAATCCTGGGTAATTCCGCCATAACTCGAAAAGGCAACTCCTATCATTTCCATTTCAAAGAATTATTATAAAGTGTCGGGCCATCCAGTCCTACCAGCAGAATATCGCATCGATTGAAATTTTTACCAGTCAAAACTTGGCCCATAGCTTTGGTAGGTCCTGAAAGCCATCCACAGATGGGCCCGAGAGACAACTCCACTTGTAAACTCGCCAAGCTGGCAGTAAAGCATCGTTGACGGTCCAGTCTACATGAAACCATCTCTCTCCTCTGTTTTCCTTCAGAGGCTTGCCTCTACCCACATTCCAGCTTAATAATGCCGTCGTGAGGGCTTCTGTAGAGGGAAAATGGCTCGAAAAACACTTCTAAACGGTCAGAAAAGCGAGAAACCGAATCGATTTGAACGCATCCAAACACGAAATGGTGATCTAGGTCATGTGACCTCAAGGTCTGAGCTCATGGTGTCTCTAAATCGCAAATATTGTAACGGATGCTCCATATAAAGGCCAACAAAGTGAGGTTAAGTTTGTATCGCCAAATTACACTTGAAAAAATATGGTCTTTTTCGTATTCAAAGGGTTAAAAGTGTTATAGATAAATTGCAGACTATTTGAGTGCCTCAGCAAAACTTACACTAAAAGCAGCCAGTCTAATATCGGGGCTTGATTTGAGATTTGTTGCAGTAAATGAGGCAGTCCACAAAGGAAATATTTAGATTTAATATTAAAAAAAAACCAAGTTATTTTGTAAACAATTGATTTTCTTAAAGTATCGTTCACAGCGCCTTATGGTCAATCAGGTTCTTTAGATTCTTTTTTCCTCGTCTACACTGACTTGTTCAGTTTGAGTCTCAATCACTTCAGGAAAAGGGAAGAGAAACATACAAACACATTTCAAGGACAGAAAATATGTTTTTTCTCTTTAAATCTCAACGCTCGAAACATCACCCGCGTAACTTCATCATTTCCATTTATTTCAGCAGCTCATTTATCTCCATTTGCCTAAGAAGCATTTAATGTGGCAGTATTTAATGGAGAACGCCTGCATTTTTTAACATCCCTCAGAGAATGGCGAAAAGAAAATACTAAATGAATCAAAGAAATGAGAGAAAGAAAAGAATTATTAGAATAGGAAATTATTGGGTGACGAGAAATTGGCCTTCTATGTCCTCCCAATGTATTGCGTAACATACCCTTCAATAACCAGTTGATCATTAACTTTATAAGTGTTCGCCGGAGCAGCATGTGCTAAAACAATAGACAGAAGATGAGACAAGTCATGATCATGGCAAGTTTTATTTAAAATTCAAATAAACTGACGCCTAAACAGTAACAAAGTATTGTAGAACGATGGTTCGACTAGTGCTGAAAATTCAAATTGGATGTAATTTGCTGAAGAATGGAGCAAAATGAAGGAAAAACCACCTTGATGATAATTAGCGTACGGACCTGTAAGGAATTAATATTTAGATTTTATGGGTGTAAGGGTTAAAGAGTCTCAGCTTGGATGCTATCACTCACGATGACCTGAACTGAATTGTTGTAGAATGCCTTAGCAGTCATCCAATTCAAAGCTTCAACATCTTCTCTCCCAAGACTTGTTTCATGAATCAGCTGTGCGTTCATAAGGAAATGAAGAACGAGGGAAGTTTGAAGAGCACCAAAGATGTGCTTCTTGAGGCCCAGGCGAAGTTAACTCTATTTTATTGAGTGCTTCTTTTTCAGGTGAGCTCACAGCTGACGAATGAATCAGCTATTTTGTGACTTTTTTCTAAGGTGTTAGCGTAAAGACGTTCTACATCACACACGCGTCACGGTTTTGCACAACGGGAAATGTTATGATGAAGTGAATCACAGGCGCATTTTGATTGTTTCGTACTTATTATGGAGGACAGACGCATAATTGTCGTCACCACAAACATTTTTTAAAGGATAACCAAAGTGAAGCGCGCGTTCTGATTGGTCAATTCAGTGTCCACCAATTGCTCATGGATGTACACTGCTGACGGGAGCAAATGCAAAGACTAGTTTCCTTACGCTTGTTTTTTCTGGTCGCGTAGGATTTTTCAAAATAAAAGGGAATTCTTTTGCGACAATGTATCAGTTAGACACTAATGCGAAGACTAACTTCCCTGCGCTTGTTTTTTCCAGTCAAGAAAGGTTTGTTAAATAATAGGGAACTCTTTTGCTACAATGTATCAGGTATAAAACAAATGATAAACACCACAGCGTACACTATTGGGTTATGGAAGTTTGCTAAGCACTAAAGAAAGCTATAGTCGGTCTCCCCTATCGCCTCGCGCGACTTTTACTCTTCTCTCGTGCTTAGCAACCTCCCGCGTGCATCCATAGCTCAATAGTGTGCGCTGTGAAAGCCTTACAAGAGATGCAGAATCCTTATCCAGATTCTCTTTTGCCTTCTTTATTGAATCACAGTCTCATTACTGGGATGTAGAAATACTGCATATCTAGGAAAAGGCGAGATTTTTTAAACATATCAAACTGTTTCCCCACTGCGATGGACATTTGTTTTTGTCGGTTCCAGCCTGGCGCGGCCGCTAACCCAGATGCCCTCATGAGCAAATTTTCAAAATGGCGGACAGGCCAAACAGAGAGATAAGAGAACCAAAGAGTATTCTGCAACGAATACTCAGCATACACCCCTATTAAAAAGGTAATTTCACAGAGAAAAGATACAAAATTGTATGATATTGAAGTCACG